TACTATCAGAAAATATTTGACCATTAACCATTACTTTCTGTCCAAACTTGATGTTTCCTATAATATAAGCAAGTTAAAAATATTTGACCAATACTTCTACCTCCATCAAACTTGATATTCATATACTAAATCTTGTTTTGACTCAATCTGAAACCCTTATTCTCCAATATTTATCAACATACTTCCAACTTTGCTTTAACACCAGATTTTGTCTCATCAATCAATATAATATCGTCAGCAAACATCGTGCATCATGGTATATCTTCTTGAATTCACTTCGTAAGTTCATTCGTGGCTATAAAAAATAAGAAAGGATTCGGAAATGATATTTGGTGCACTCTGATAGTAATAGGGAACTCTACATTCTCCCTACATCTGTACGGACATCTGCAGTACCATCCTCATACATGTCATGATGATGCTAATATATGTGCATTGTGCCTTTTCTAGTTAAGGACTTAAGGCCCATCAAAGGACTTTTCAAGTACTTTATCGAATGCATATTCTTATTTGTGTCTAAACGTCTACACTTTTCCACAAGTAATTTAAGAAGCTGAATAGGATCAGATGTTGAGTGACCACATATAAAACCAAATTGACTCCCACAAGATTCACACTTCTTTGGAGTCCTTACTTAATCACTCACTCTCAATCTTTCTTAATGTGAATCATAAGCTTAATCTCTTAATCGTTGGTGTGTTATTGTACGTCACCCTTATTTTTATAGGAGATAAGAGTATTTTTACGTCAACTCACTGACACAGTGTTATTTCTCTAAATCTTACTCCAGAAAAATGTTAACCACTTATGCTTTTCTCTCAAACTTCTCCAGGCCACGATACATATACCATCTAGACCCACTGCCTTCTTTTGTCCATCTTTCTCAAAGCCTCTTTAACTTCTATCATTTAAATTCTTCTCACAAAATCCCAATTTGTCATACAATTTGTCATACAATTAAACACGGTATCGAAATATGAACGTACATCTCTCTTTTACTTTAACATCCTACATTTTGTAATTTTTACACTGGTGTATTAATTTTATTAATTTTTCCAATGAAGTTCGACTTGACATTATATGATGTATATGAGTATTACACTATTACTTATATGATTTTATTACGAAAAGGAAGATTTAATTGAATCAAAGCAGGCAGTTAGTAAGGTACTCATTTTAAGTTAGTTATATCCCTACAAGAATCAATGATCTCGTACCACTGACCTTTAAAACCAGGTTAGGTAAGGTACTCATTTTTCTATTTACTTTCACCGAAAACAAATTTAAATTGAACTTGAGAGTTGAAAGTCCCCGGCTAGATCTTTGGGTACGCACATATATGTGCGCTCTTTATCTGAAGTGTCCACACTGAAAAGCATAAAACATTTTCTAAATAGTGTTGAATTCATGCATTCAGACATCAGAAACAATTGTTGACTTTCACAACGACCATGCATATTGTCATGAAAACATTACACAAGCATTAGGAGTGTCACGGCACACAACATTTACATACTATGCAGTCGTTATAATAATGTTCATGGAGATATGGGATAGTGTGCAACTGTGCATCCTTAGAACTCGCGATCTGGGAAGAGAATCGGAGCAAGCATAGACCAAATGAATAAAGCAGCAGTCACCCAGCAAGTTGTCACTCTAACCCAAACCGATGCCCATCCAACATCGACCAATTTCCCACTCTCCCCAACGGATGTTGACCATCCTGTGAGTAGCATTGCAGAATACATGCTAGCAAGAGAGAAGATGATGTGGAAGAAGGAATATGAATACGTGACCGGCTTTGACTTCTTACTCTCGTCATCCTCATCAGCTTTGTCTAACGGCAATAAAGGTTTACCTTCAACAGAAAAATCACATTTATACTCGCATTAAATCATGGCATAACTATATTTGCAGCCCCTTCAAATAAACACCTTTTGTTATAGATCCCTCTGATTTTTTTTTCTTGTAATATAAAAAATCTAACGACACTTTCATAACTTGACCTCAAGATTTCCATGTCAGCTTTTTGCAAAATTTTAGACACCATCAGTTTACCTCTGTTTTTAAATCTCACTTCCTTGGGTAAATGTAACCAATCATTCATGTTTCAATGTTTAATACAGGTCTCAATGACTTTAAAACAAGACTTACCTATATTTTGAAAATGAGATGATGAGAAAAAGATAAAATTATGTTATTCACGTCGGTTTCACCGTGAAATGGAGGTTGCTCGAGAGTCAGCGTAAGATGAAAAAAATCAAGTAGTTAAAAGTTAAAGTCTTAATTCAAAATAACAATAATTATAGAAATCAAGTGGTAGGATTCAAGAAACTAACCAGCACGTGGTGAGCTAGGTGGGGAAAGTAAAGTGGTAGATGATCCAGCACGAACTGCAGAATAAACTACTGATAAAACTGTTGTTAGTAGCCCAAGAGTTAGTGTGCCAGTGGAAACAGCTTTTGAGTGCTTATGAAAGCCATTGCATTCATAATCCCTAGGTTCACTTGCAAGCGCACTGTAGCAAAGGTATGTGCAGTACAGAGATAGAACTGATGCTGGGAAAATGCTTCCTTTCACCTATATTGCATCACCGTTTTCAACACTATTAGCAAATAATTTAATACTCCTAATCTACAAGACAATAAAAAGAAACAAGTTTTAACTCAGATCTTTAAAACATTTAAAAGTGTAGAAAAGAATTATGATAAGCACGGACAACCAAAATTCCCAAAGATAAGTCCAAATGAAGCATTCGTTGAGATACGAATAGCAAGATCTAAGATGCTTACTGAAGGATGCAGGGTGACAATAGCGAAGATAAAGACGAAAATAAGAGTCATCACTATAAAGAAAGTGTTTAGCCCGCAGTCATGCCCGGACGGAGTAAAGAAGTGAAAAAGAACTCCACTAATAGTAAAGGTTGCCACATAACACACGAGAGAAACAACAAGCAAGGCAACATACCTACAAAATTAGTCAGAACGGAAACAAGGATTAGAATCCAACAGGTGCAAAGGGTCCTCATGATTTACAATAAGAAAAAAATGATAAACAGACCAGAATTGCTCGTCATATCCAACCCACTTGTCGTTCCATCCATGGACGAAGTCCAATAGAAGCACAACTTGAACAAGAAGAAATAATCCTGAACCAAACTTTGATGTTGCCTCTGCATATGAATCACCATACACAAAGTTATTCCTATTACGGAGTAAGTAATCAACTAAGTAGTTTATGTAAATGTAGATCTTCAGGGTTATGCTATAATCAAAATAATTACATAGACTTTTCACCGTCATAAGAAAACACATAGAGAATACATTTTGACATTAGTGACAAAAAGAATAACACACATATAAAAGCGGCCAAAAACATTAGAAGAGTATACTTACCATAAAAGCTGATCAGCTCATTTGGTACAAAAAACATAAAAATGACTAAAAGAAACCAGCAGATTACTTTCACCATCCACCCGCCATGGTGCAAATTATCACGAGGGTCCTTCTGATTCTTTACACCAACCATCATGATAGATAGAATAGTAAAGAACATGAAGTTTCCCAAGCTAACTCGAAGTACAGCATCTGTTTCAAACCATTCTCTATCTGGTGTTTTGTGGAAATGATTAATCCCTGAAAAAAGGTCGTGTGCAAAAACAATCAGCAAGTCAAATTAAGGGCGCACTTTGACAAAATAATCATGTTTTCTCATGTACTCGGATATAGCTTGAGGTTATATATTCTAATTTGTGTTTCATCACGTATTACCCATCTTTCAAAGCCTCCACACGTGTAGCAGTGATTTCATCCCATATATGGGTAATGCATTGAACTTCAATAGTGGAATATGAGGTGAAACACAAAGTTGGAATAGAGGAACTCAATCTAGGATATAGCGACCAGTCATCACGACCAGTCATAACAGTAATGAATAAGTAAACTGATGCAAATCAGAAGTTCGGCACAAACACAAAGGAATTTGTTAAGTGGAAACCCGAAGCAAGACCCTTAAGTTCTTAACCGTCACGCTTTTACCGAAATTCCCATAAATGAGCACTAAATACGCATCAGCAAAGGGAAGAAAACTTACACGGTATTTTCTCCATAAGAGGAGCAGCAACTTGTCGAAGAATCCATGAAACAATCAGAGAAAGCCCAAAGAGACCGCAATAAGCTATACGAGCGGACCGGCGACTGATCCCTGACACTACCGTTCGGCAAGCATCACAAGCGCACGCGGCGCAGCATGACGCAAGGCATGACGCTGCCCACATATTCAGACACCTCTCCTATTCTTTTCCTTAAATCGGCGATGAAACGAAACTGCTCAACGATTAAAAACCTAAAAGTTGCCTTCGTAAATTTTCAATCAATTGGAGAGAAGTCAATAGAGACACGGAAGATTATAACAGATATCAGAGATCAGATGAGCAAATTGAACTGAATAGTTCAATAGAATCGCGTGGAGAAAGAGAATGTACCTTGTTGCGATTGGGGGAGAATATAACGACGGAGGAGATTTCTCTGTCTTAGCTGCGTGTTACTACCTTAACACAAAATCTTCCCATTTTGACTTTTCACAGTCTTCTAAATTGAACTTTGACTCTGAATATCTACATATCTATATTTATAAAATTCATAATAAATTAACATTCAAATAATATGTTTTACAATGAGGTATACTATGTATAAAATAAATTTTTAATCATAATGAGTTTTGAATAATTAATGGTCAAAGTTTATAAAGTTTGACCCAAAAGAGTCAAACTGAGAAGATTCTAGGGTTACGGAGGTAGTAACATTTTTAGGCTTTGACCAGTAAGGATGTTTTTACTTGGACTGTAATTTGCCCCAGACCAGACCAGATCAGACCAGTCCAGACCAGACCAGACCAGTTCAGACCAGACCAGACCAGACCAGACTTGGATAGTTATAAAAATACAAAGAAACCAGACCTTACCAGACCAGATCAGACCAGACCAGCAAATTACAGTCCAAGTAAAAACATCCTAATTTTTGTTTATTGCCCAGAAACTAATTTACGTTTAAGTCCTCAAAAGTATAAAAAAAACTTATTTTTTCTTGTCAAATTTTATATGATCATAAGTTGGTTAACAATGTCACTAAATATCTAGTGGGCACTTATTCAGTTATTCTTTACCATGGTAGTTGGGAATTTTAATGACCTTTTGTATTCTGAGGAGAAAAGGGGATGTATCTCTCGTCCAGGGTGAAAATTAAGAGGTTTTCGTGGGGCTATACAGGAAAGTGGTTTGAGAAACTTTCCCTTTGAAGGCTACCAGTGGACGTGGGATCGGGATCGAGGAACTAAGGCTTGGGTGGAGGAAAAACTTGATAGGATCCTTGTAAATATAAATGATGATTGGTGGATTTTTTTACTGCTGCATATGCCAAGACTGTGGAAGCCCCGACTAGTCACCACATGGCATTGCATGCTACATTTCAACACCAGGATAACATCTGTAGGAGGCGGTAATTTAAATTTGAAACAATTGGCTTAGTGAAGAAGAATATTGGGTTATTATGGGAAACAGATAGCGAGCATCAGGTTCTTTTTCTATAAGTAGGTTCTTTTTCTATAAGTGAACAAATATCTTTTTGTGGGTAGGAGCTTCGGAAATGGGATTGCAGGAATAAGAGGGGATCTAGAGTCCAGATTGATGCTCTGAAAAAACGACTTGCATGGTTATGAGAGAAGACTGATCCGAGGAGTTCTTTGGAATTCATGCACACCCGCTCTTCATTGTTAACGCTTTTTGAAAAGGAGAATGTGTATTGGTGACATAGAGCTAAAGAATTTTGGCTTCGAGGAGGTGATACAAATTCTAAATATTTTCGTAACGCGGCTAAGCAAAGGCGTCAGAGAAATAAAATCCTCGATCTTACCGACGTGAATGGCAATTGGGTTACTAATAAATCCTGCATGGAGGTGTTAATTTCAAGCTATGTTGAGCAGCTATACACGGATAGTGGGGCAGGAACATGGCGGGAGAATTTGGATGATTTTTCTAGTGTATCTTAGGAGCCAAATACACTACTAGAAAAAAAGCTATTTGCTGCGATTATTTTAAGCTTATTGTTGCGGTTCACAACCGCAGCAATTGAAGGAGCAGCAAAATGTTGATTTTGTTATTTGTTGTGGTTTAGAACCGCATCAAATAGACAACTCTTTTTAATTTAATTGACTTATTGCGGCGGTTGGTATCAACTGCATCAATAGATATCTACGTAATACGGAGTATGAAATTAATTCATTGCAACTTTTCTGACAACCTTATTTAGTTTGTGTATGGGCTTACGGGTTACGGCACCATCTGCTGCTTATTTTCTCATTAGCATTGCAAATGGATAACTTAGTGTGTTTTGCACCAAAATAAAATACTCCGTAATATACAGTAATCACAATCCTTCTCAAGCTATTTCCAATAATTTCACTTATCAAATATAAAATAACAAGTATCATCAAAAAATATATAAAAAACAAGTTGCACATCCAATCAAACGAAACTTATTATAATCCTATGATACATTCTTAATGTTTAGTATAGAGATTACACATCCAATTTCATCTGTATTCCGGACTTTAGTAATTTCATCTGTATTCTGGACTTATGCAATTTCATCTGCCTTGTAGTGCTTTTGCAAACCTAAAACATCAAAAAATTCCAATTAGTACATGTACACTTTATTTGATAGCACAAACAAGTATACCATTAAATAAATCGTATACTAAGTGTATAATAAGCAGCCAAGAAATTGAATCTAATTTATTTATATGTTTTCAAAATTAAATTTTCTTACTTGGTAAAAAGAACAGCAAAACAAGAATTGATAGCATTTTGTTCATTTTTTACAGGTACGGTTGAAAATTATTATTACACTCATACAACTCACAACTCATTAGTAGGCAAAAATACAGGAGGAAAAGATAAAGACAAAGACATACGGAGTACATCTTTTTTATAAATTTAACACTAGTAGTAGATCTCATTGGACCGCACAAAGCTTAATTATTCATAAAGTGAAAAAGATACAAGAAACATTAAAGGATCTGAGCTGATATGTTTGACCAAATGAGGAAACACCGGATTAGAATTTCTCAAAAGGAAATAATAACAAGTAAAAGTTAATTGTGCTATTATGTGATTTTTATTAATGATTATCAAGTTCTTTGCTCCTCAGAGTTGAATATCAACTCACGAGCTTCCTATAAACATACACATCAATACTGAAGAATTCAATTGCAACAAGCATGAACCTTCCTCCATGTGCAAGCAACAACCATGAAGCTTCCTCCATGTGCAAGAATGACAAAGGGAGCTTCCTCAGCCACCATTGAAGTTTCCTCATGTTTAATCCCACCTTCCTCCCACCTTCATAGTACCTTGTTTTGGTGCTATAAATAGAGAGCTTGGAGAGTCTTTCTATCATCAAGTAAATTAGAATAGATCATCATAGCACATCCAAGTTTGAGTTGTGAATATCCTTGAGAGATATGTGAGGTTGTTTTGAGAGTTTTTAGTTAGAGCTTGTATGTCTCTTATTTCTATTCTTGAAAGTAATAGAAGTGTTCTTCTCTCATATTAGCACGATCCTGTTATTCCCAACAAGTGGTATCAGAGCCTGGTTGAGCTTTTGATATTTTTCCCAGATTTTTTCAGATAAAATTCTACTGTCTGAAAAATCGAGTTTTTCATTATTGCTCGGAATTGCAATCTGAATATACCGTTGGATTCCTCTCGTCGAGACAAAAAAACTGGTATTTTTGGGGATTTTTTTGGCCACCGTAAGCTGCCGTACGCGCCGCCAAACGCCGGCCAAAAACTGCCTGCGTCATGGCTGACGTCATCACGCGCAGTCCAGAGGTAGAAGACGGCTGACGTCATCGCTGACGTCATCATCCAGCCAGAGCTGCGTCAGCGACACGTCAGCGCCACATGTGCAGTCCCAGCACAGTCAGCCGCCACGTCATCAGTCAACTGCCACCTTTCACCTGCGTCCAGTCACCTTGAACAAATGGATGTGAAGACAGCATTTCTTCACGGAGATTTGAAAGAAGAAATCTACATGCAGCAGCCGGAAGGTTTTGAGAACTCAAATGATAATTTTGTGTGTAAATTATCTAAGAGTTTGTATGGCTTGAAGCAGGCACCAAGGCAGTGGAATAAGAAGTTTGACTCATGCATGAAGAGTCAAGGCTACTAGAAGACTACTGCGGATGAGTGTGTATACATCAAGAAACTTCCAGACGGTACTTTCATTGCTCTTCTACTATATGTAGACGACATGTTAATCGTTGGGAAAGATGCAGTGAAGATAAACCAGCTGAAGAAAGAACTCTCTAAGTCTTTTGATATGAAAGACTTAGGACCGGCTCAACAGATTCTTGGGATGCAGATCACTCGAGACAGGAAGAATCGCAAGTTATGGCTATCTCAGGAGAAGTACATTGAACGAGTACTTGAGAGATTCAACATGAATGATGCCAAACCAGTAAGTGTTCCACTTGCGAATCACTTCAAGTTGAGCAAAAGAACATGCCCTCGATAAAAGTCAGAAAATATCTGCTTCCACCGATTGATTCTTCGTAAGCAGACATTTAGCTCTCGAACACCTGATCCTTCGTAATCAGGAAATACACCCACACTTTCCGAGAAGCATCATCGATAAAAGTCAGAAAATATCTGCTTCCACCGATTGATTCCACCTCGAAAGGACCACAGACATCGGAGTGTACCAAACTTAACAACTCTGATCTTTTAGTTGAAGTAGAACTAAATGATACTCTATGTTGCTTACCAAACAAACAATGACTGCAAGGAGCCAGTGCAGCATTCTTGTCGATGTTGATAAGGTTCTTCTTCATCAAGGTAGTCAACCCTTTCTCACCGATGTGACCGAGTCTCAGGTGCCACAGATTCTGAGAAGTCTCCTCTGCAATGTTGAGGCTATCCGTACAAATCCTCAAATGGGTTTTGTACAATGTGCCACAAACATGTCCTCGAGCGATTGTCAAAACGCCCTTTGACATTTTCCAGGTGCCCCTGTTAAAGTGGTTTTCATACCCCTGTTCGTCAAGACATACCACTGACAGGAGATTGAGCCGAAGGTCTGGAACATGTCTGACATCCTTCAAAGTGATTGTGCTCCCAGTACTTGTCTTTATTTGTACATCACCAATTCCAGCTATTCCAGAGGAACTGGAATTGCCCATCTTCACTGCTCCAAAGTCTCCAGCTTTGTAAGTTGTGAAGTAGTACCTGTGGGGAGTAACATGGTAGGATGCTGCAGTATCTACCACCCATTCAGTGTCCTCTCTTGAGACGTGAAGGCATGCTTCATCATTGATAGTACAATACGCCACATCACCTGAGATTGTGATGAGCGCTTCACCACCCTTGTTCTTTGCTTGAGAATTGCTCTTGCCTCGCTCCTCTAGCAATTTGTAGCAATTCTTCTTCATGTGACCCTCTATACCGCAATGGTGGCAGGTATAAGAAGGTTTCCGGCCATCTGATGATATCCCCCGACTTTTGCCTCTGCTTTGCCATTTCCCTCTACTGTTTCTTTGTTGTTTTCCTTGTGATCTTCCTCTATTCTCAGTCACAAGGGCATGAGTCTCATCTGTGCTCATGTCTTTCCTTCTTGCCTCCTCATTGAACAGTGCATCCTTGACCACAGACATGGTAAGTTTGCCATCTGGGGCTGAGTTGCTGAGAGTAACAACTAGTGTCTCCCAACTATCAGGAAGGGAACTAAGAAGTAGTAGAGATTGCATTTCATCTCCAAGTGGCATTTCTACACAAGATAGTTGATTTACCAGACTCTGAAATTGACTAGTATGTTCAGCAACAGAAGTTCCACTTTTGAGCTTCATATTGACAAGACGCCTCATCAGTAAGGCCTTGTTCCTAGCGGTCTTGGCCTGATACATATCTTCTAACTTCTTCCAAAGGGCATAAGCGTCGGTCTCTTGTGCAACATGGTGGAAGACACTATGGTCAATCCATTGTCGGATTTGACCAATAGTTTTTCTATTAATTTTCTTCCACTCCGTTGACTTTGCCGGGTCAGGATTAATACCTTTCATCTCTATTGGATCAAAAAGGTCTTTACAGCTAAGGAAATCTTCCATCCGAGGTTTCCATAGCGTGTAGTTGGTAGCCGTGAGCATAATCATAGCTCCGGAAGATGAAGTTGACTCGTCAAAGGTCATTTTCACCTTCTAAATAATTTTGATTTTCTGTTTCAGAAAATCGGAGCAGAATTTCAAAAAACGGGCAGCACCGTTGCGTCCGAAACGGCCGAAAATGGTGGGTAGGCACTTTCAGGGTCAAAATACAATTTTCAAAAAATTATAGGCCGAAATTATAATTTTTCAAAAATTGAGGGACAAAACTGCAATTTTTCAAAATTTAAAAAAACTGACCGGTGACGTGGCAGATGACGCGGCAGTGACGTGGCGCTGACTGGGCGATGACGTGGCAGCTGACTGGACGCAGGTGAAAGGTGGCAGTTGACTGATGACGTCGCGGCTGACTGTGCTGGGACTGCACATGTGTCGGTGACGTGTCGCTGACGCAGCTCTGGCTGGATGATGACGTCAGCGATGACGTCAGCCGTCTTCTACCTTTGGACTGAGCTAAAAGTCGGAAAATATCTGCTTCCACTAATTTTACAAACTTATACAAATATAATATTTAACTTTCATAAAATTAAAAATCATTAAAATTAAATAGGACCGATTAAACCGGAGAAAGTTAAAGCGGTAATGTTTGGGATGCATCCTGATAAGGGAATTTTACGCAACTAGACTAAAAATTGACATTAATATCACCTTTTTCAGTTTTGAAAAGTATTTTCAAAAATGACCAAGTACGCTTTGGTTTTCAAAAATTGACCATACGTTGAAAAGCTACTGCCTACTGGAATCCATGCTCTCAGGAAGCGTGCGTGGAATCTTTGTTAAATTTGTGCAAAATTTAAGAATTACTTGATTCATGTTTTTAAATAGAAAAAAGTCACTAAAATGTAAAAAACGTGAAGATAGTTGGAAAACAATAAACAATTAAAATAATATAATCTTAGAAAATAATAAAACAATCAAATTAATAATAAAATCAAGTAATGCATAGTAAATCAAAGACGAAAACTTGCAAGTTAAATTAATAACGGGATTTTAATTTTTATGAAAAATCAGAAAAGTGTTAAAAATATATATACAAAATCAAAAAATACAAAACTCAAAACTAAAAATAAAAAAAGTTCAAAATAGTTAATATAGTGGAAAAATTGTATAAAAATTACATGTTTTTTGTAATGTTGATTTCTTAGAAGATTTCATATGCCCCAAAAATTGTAAAAAAGTGCGTATAAAACAATAAAAAATATAAATAATTGAAATATTATAAAATTAGTAAAAAACAAAAATGAAAATATATAACTAAAAAGAATCTGATAAAAGTGAAATAATAAAATTATACTCTAAAATATCTATAATCTTAAAATATTATAAAATATTATAAAAATATTTTTGAAAACATTAAGAATTATGAGAGGCCATTAGAAACTTGTATGAAACATATATTCTTTTATTAGAAGGCAAAATATATAAAAATTATAAAAGATTAAATTCAATACATAAAATAATACAACTTTGAAAAAGTTAAAAATATAAATAAATGCTACTCCCTCTGTTCTTTAATAAAAGTCCTTCTTTCCTTTTTGGGACGTTTTTTTTATTTGTCCTCCTTTCCATTTAAGGAAAGTTTTTACTTTAAATATACCTTTATACCCCCACTTTTATTACCATTACCCCTTTCTCTTTCCTACTTTTTCATTTACCCACTACTCATTACACCTTTTACACTACCCCTACTATTTTCCTCTTAAAACCCGTGCCAAAGCCTAAGAGGACACATAATAAAGAACGGAGGGAGTATAAAATAAAATAGAAATAGAAAAAAAGCAGAAATTTTTTATTCTCGACTTTTATATTTTTTAATTTATATACTGCAAAAATTAAAAGTACTTAATTGTATTTTTATTTTCTTATAAAACTTATGCAAATGTAAAAATTTAAAGTAGTCAAAAATGTGGGGACGTTCTAAAAATACAAAGTACTTTGAAATACAATTTTAAAATAGTTAATATAATTTATATAAAACTATAAAATGTCAAAAATATAAAGATTGAAAGTTTGATAAAAGAAAATAACTAACAGAAAAATAAAAATAAAAATATAAGTTATAAAATTTTCTCAAAAAAAAAAACAAAAAAATTGAATTAAAGGAACCTAATTAAAAAATTTAAGAATACCAAAAAAAAAGGTGTAGTTAAATTAAAAAATACCAAAACTCGAAAATGAAAATGTTAAAAATAAAAATTTGTTAAAATTTTGTGAAAATGTTTTAAAAAAATGAACCATTACTTGTAGGAATTTCAATTTTAAAATAGTTAAAATTTTATATTTTTATTATCAATATATTGTTACTTTTATTGCATATTGTTTCTTATTGTTTCTTTTTGTTTACTTTTAGAAAAAAACTTTTAATATCTCGTTTTTAATATTTATTAATGTTCCATGGTATAGTTTATGAAAAATACAGGTACATTAACTGCCAAAATTGTAGTTTACAACAGCACATGGTGAATAACCCTAGTTAAGCAAGAGCATAACAAGCTAATGCTTCATACACTAGTATATTGCACTTGCACTGAACTAATAAACAAAGCAGTCCCAAAGGAATTGTCTGAAGCATAGTCTAACTTGCACCGTCTGTCCCAAACAAAAACAACAGCATCATGCACTCCATAATCACCCCCTCTGTCACAAAAGCAAAAGGCAAACCACTATCTTAGTCAACAATTTGCATATGAGTACCATAAATAACTCAAAAGGTAGCACTAGATAATCAAGAAAAAACAAACGCACCAGCATAAAAATAAAAATCAATAATTGGCAGGATATAGCCTAAATAACATATTGAGCATCAAAAGTTTAATATGCAAAACCACACTTTCAATACTAATCACCTTATGAGCAAAAATAACCTCATTCCATGCCTTTCAAATTCAGTAAACAATGCATAAAGGAGATAGAAGAATGGCCTTGATCATTATTCTTGCACCTCGGTATTGTTTAAGGTGCGTTTTGACTGAATTGAGCATTGAATAAGTATGTTTTTTAAAGAAAAGATGTTCCAATGAATCCACATGTACTTTGCAAAAAGAGCAACTCATGGTGCAATTTTATCATTATAGATATGTGTGCCTACACACGCCCACGTATCAAATTACTAGATACCAATGAAATCATAATAAAAATAAGTTGCATGCAGTAATAGATAATAATAATAGTTGAAAAATGATTAACATGAATCAGCGTGTTGCAATACAAAGAAACAATATACAACAAAAGGCAACAAATTAAAAATAACAAAAAGCAACAAAAAGAAACATAATGCAACAAAAAGAAACAAATTTTAAAAACAAAAAGCAACAAAAAGAAACAAATGAAACATGCCAAAAGAAAATAAAAATAACATATAATAATATCTGATAAGTACATATCTAAAAAATAAAGCACAAAACAGGGAGATACATCTCATTTGCAGGTTATAAAATCAGCTACAATCATTAATAGTTAGCATATCAAAATGAATCTAGCATAGACATCACAACACATATTCATAGTTTCACTGATTCTGATTAAGAAACTCAAACACACCAATTGTCATTCAATTCTTTGAAGGTTCTAAACAGTAAATCGTGTTCATGAGCAAACAAAATTAACAAGTAAACCTAGCCCAAGAATGTCACCAAATGTCAAGTGAAACCAAGCTATGTTGATTACCTGCAAATTTGGTGAGTTTGAGGAGAACTTCAGTTTGAAGCTATTGTTTCAAAGTCAGGAATGATTTAGCTAGACCACAACTAGCCCCCTTGACTCACGCTCTCTGAAACTACAACTTTCCTTTTTTATTTAAATGTTTTTAGGGAAAGTAGAGGACAACATGCTTCCTCCACCTCTCTATATGTACAAGGAGGGACCAAAACCAAAATGGTTATAAATTTTTTATTCCATCTCAACTTTGCAACCAGATTGAGGAAAAAATTGTGATAGCAAAAGACATACACAAAAGTCGAACTCAAAATAGAACAACACAAAATAATGCCCCTAAACAATCAATGATCATTACTAATCATTATACTAAGACATAGCAGCAATGACTCTTTCACAAAATAAGATGTAGTAGTGATCAGTGTTACCTTGCTAGAATACTCTTGTGTTGAACCAATGAATGTTTGTATGTACAACAGATTAATCAATCATCTCCATTCTCATGGTCAATGTACAACCAATGGTAGTGACTTTTGATCAGGATAACATAGTGCGTGTTTCCAAATAATGAATACTCATCGTCTGCACTCTACATCGTCTACACTGGTGTACGGTTGTTTATAAAAAGATTTATTAGACATCTAAACATATTACGATTTAGTAAATCAACCTCCCTGATATTAAGATTTAGGCATTGTGTTTTGTTTTTGTAAAAAAGGCTTTAGAAGTCAACAACAATCTTACATAACTTCTCAGGCTTTTAACTTTCAAGAATTAAGAGAAATGGTGATACTTTATTTACTCTTAATGAATGGATATATTTTCAGATTGGAAAATCACACTCCAACTAGTTAACTGATTATTATATCTTCATAATGTACAAAAATATAATATGATTAAATAATTGTTATGATTCACATCAAACATAAAACCCCAATCAATCAAAATTTACTCCTTATCGGAGACTAGATCCTACACTCTCAATCCAGATTCCAAATTCACCTTAAAGACCTGTTCACATGAGCTAATCAATCTAAATGAACCACAACTAAAGCTGATATAGACAACAATAAACTACAACTCATTTCAATTTCATAACAAAAATGTAACATGTAATAATCGATACAAACTACG